GAGAAAGAAAGATAAAATCTCGTTCTTCAAATATCAGGGAGAAAAAAAAACGCGGAGGAATGTCGCAGCCCACCATTGACATCGAATGACAAAAAATGACCGAAATGTGTGTGCAGGAGAAGTTTCTTTGGTGAAAAAAAAAAAGCATGAGGTTCCTCCGGAGCTGCCTACATGGCAGGAATGTTAATTGTTAAAATCTGCACTGTGGCATTTCTTGTAAGCGAGCGAGCTGTAGCTGATGTGCGCTCGTGGTTGCCTCTTCCCTCCCCCTTGTATATTTACAGTGAAAAGAATGTACTAATGTTCTGAAATGAGTCAGATGTCGCCCTGAGATCTTTGTACAATTAGGGAACTTTAAACTGTTAAACTGATAGGAACGGGTAGGAACAAAACTGCACATTGGTAACATTTTGTTCTTGATTAAGTTTGTGTACTAATACAGTAGATTAAAAATAAGTCCAACAGTTGAAAACACATAACAGTTCAAGCCAAACAGGTCAGCCAGAAATAAACTATCATTTGAAATCCAGAATTTAAAATCCTCATGAGCCTGGGAAAACACAGGGATACAGCCTGGGCCCGATCCTGGTCACGCTGGTGCCAGTGGGAATTTTACTGCTGGTATTAGGAGCATGATTTCTTTTTTCTGTTGATCTGACGCCTACAAAAATTCATTTTGTTTCCTCAGGTCCCACTGTGCTGAGTTCCTACGGCCGCCATGCGGGGTGGAAGAGAGACTCTTATGCCCCTTTCTGCAGAGGTGCGCGGTGCGGTGCGGTGCGGTGCGGTGCGCTCAGCGGCACAGCGATTCCTCCCGTTCCTCACATGGAAATAAGTCGCCTCAGGTCTCATCACCAGAGAGAGCCTGGCAGCACGAAAAATGAACACAAAACGTTGATGCAAAGCGGGTAATATTCTGATGGAAAGCATACGCTTGGGGAAGGTGGTGTCCCTGGGCTCCCACGCTTTCCCCTTGGTGTCAGAGGGTTTGGAGGAGTTGAGTGGCTTTCCGTCCCAGCTGTGTGGGACGGGGCCCTGCGGTGGCTTCGCAAGGGGAAGCAGAGGCACAGCCCGAGGGCTTCCCCGTGCTGGCTCTGAAGGTAAGGTCCCCGAATCTTTAGACCACCTGGGCAAAGTTACCTGTTGTGTATCGCTGGGAACAGTTCGCTCAACTGCAATTTGCCCATTTGGGAGTGGAAAACTCTCGCTGGCTATTTATATTTGGGTCAGTGAAGGAACGGCGCCACACCCACATGTCATATTAGTATAAAAAAAGCATCAGCAACATTTTAGTCTCCACCTTTCCTTCTCCCATGCTTCTCTGGAGCTTCTGGTCCTGAGCCAGCTTGGTTTAATAGGTTACATTGCAAGCACTGGGACTGTGGTACTTTGCAAGGTTGCACATTCGCAGGAAGCATATGTGCACAAAGCCGTAACAGTTGCAGACTAAGGAGCACTAGCCCTGGCAAGCAGCTGAGAGAGATGTTAATATTGCTGGGGAAGGTGAAAACATAATTGAAACCGTTTATTTTGGGGCATGCGGGACTGAACAAGGTGATCGTTTCTCAGCAACAAATGTCTGTAATTCACTTGTCCTCGTCTTACAGACTTTTAATTTGCTCTACAAATTTGGTTAGTTGGAGAACATGTAAACACCAAGAACTGTACAGGGTGATCCATTAAACATTAACTTAGCGTGGACTTAAAAAAAAATTCACTTTTATGATATTAAAAACATAAGGGGAAAGAGATGCCAGGCTGGGGAATGAAGCCAGCTGACTGCTGAGAAGAGACCACGGTTTTGCTCTATAGCTTTGCCATTTTGAGTAATATGAGTCATTGAGATATTTTTAGGCACAACTTCTATTGTAAAGAAATTTTTCATTTGAATCTTCCTCAAATAGCGTTGCCCTCTTGGCCCCCAGATTCCTTTATTCAGAGAGGCACAGCTTGCTGCCCTGCCTGCCCTGAGGAGGAAGGAGAGCCATGGAGGACTCTGATGATTTGGTCCACATGGTGGAACAAGATAGATCTCTGCATCAGGTTGGCAGGATATTTCCCTTTCTTCAAAGGTCTGCAAACCCAGGAAGATTTCCTCTGATATCTTTCCAAGTGGGTTTATCAGCATTGGGGCATACATTTGTTTAGATTGTTCCCGTAGGCTGGGGCTTTCAAAGGAGCAGAAGTGTGCCAAATGCCAAATTCTCACCAAGTTCTCCATAAAGATTTCCTTAGTTTCCTTTGAAAGTCCTAGCTGTAGTCCCCATCACTCTGCACATCTCTCTGCTGGAAAGTTGCCCGCGATACCCTTGCACAATATGGGCACAAGGGATACAGGAAAGGTTGTCCGTTTGAACAAACAACAATGGCATTTCAAAAAATGAGAGAGGAAGAACTGACTATAGACAGAGGAAAGACATGAAAATGTGGAGGTTGGGTATGAGACAAAGAGGGAAATGAAGACCAAATTCCCTATTCCCGTTGCTGTCTTTTTTTCTTTTTTTTTTTTTTCCTTCCTCTCCGCTCACTATTTCTCTGAGGTTTTCCCCTCTCCAGTGCCTTTCTGTTGCATTTTCTCTTCCATCATTAAGCTCTCTGCTAGCTTTTAAAACTACCATCATGGCATCCCGTGATGCTATAAATAATAATTCAGCCAAAAAAGAGAATGGAAACAGAGGATGGATGGAACAAATCCACTGGGACAGTTGTTTTCTTTTGAGAACTTAGGGTATGAGACTCCTATCACCGGAGGGCAGAGCCTCTATCATCCAGAGATGTCCACCGGTTGCCAGGCACTGCCTAATTTTACGTTTATTTTATCTTGATTTCAGTGGCTCTCCCATGCAGTTGTACATATCCGTATTCCCAGCACTGTTGAACATGGTACTTTGGATGTGCTCCTCCACCGTTGGAGATGCTTTCTGACAGCATGGGGTCCTTCTCGGATGCCTCTTAGTTGAAATAAGAGGTAAGTGTATGGAGAGCCTGGGCAGAGCCTGGGCCTAACACCAAACTTTTGATGACGCTCTCGGACTGACATGTGTAGGTACAAATGCAAGTGACCTGACGCTACACCAGGCTTTAGTCTGTTCCTTTGTATGAGCTCCTAAAGACAAAACGTAGGCTACTGTGCTAGGGCAGAGGCTTCAAGGGAGGTTAGAGATTTGGCAGCTGGACGTCTATTTACTTTTTATAAAGCAGTAGCTAAGAGCTCACTGATTGTAATGCACTACCTCAGAAGTAAGGAAGAGATTTTTGGAGAGACATTCAGGCTAGTAGCTACCAAATAACAAATACAATGATGGCCAAGCGAAGACTGCCAGAGCCATTTATTCTCCTACCCTGGGTAAAGGGCTTGGTCAGGTGACAACCTTTCGTTTGGAGAGGTTGTCAGAGAAGGAATTTTTATTTTTTGAGTAAGGAGACACAGAGGCTATTTCTGATATGTTATAGGTGTGTTAATGATTTGTGAGCCACAGCAGGGTTCGTGGGTTCTCTGATTTGTTTGCAGATCTTTTCAAGTTCTCTTTACAGCATATTTGTAGTCATGTACATGGCCATTAAAAAAAAAAAAAAAAGTACCTAGAAACTGCTGAAAGCCCCAATACGTTTTAAATGTAATCTGGCCTTACCGCCTCTTGGTTTCCAGATAGAATTTAAGATGTTGATTGTGCCCCCAAGTCCTCGTGGCTGGGTTTGGCAAGGAGAAGCGGTTCTGCTTAGGCTGGTCTTATCTCATGAGCTAACGAAGCCTCAGTGCATCCCTTCTCATCCCATGTGGATCCAAGGAAACCTCACGGCTTAAACATCAGCTGCCTCTTTCAGCGAGGCTGGACATGGGACCTGCTGTAACAGATGTGCCTGGCACTTCTGAGGAGGGGAAAGAGAAGTCATCTACGGGGGCAACGGGGGGAGCAGGCTGCCCTCAGTGTCTGGGTCATTCATGGAGAGCGACGAGGGCAAAAGGGAGACTGCAGAGGGAGCTATTTGAGAGACTCCCCAGCTTCTCACTGGGTAGAGATGAGGGGTCCCCAAAGCAATTTTGTGGCCTTTGCTGTGCCACCTCTCGGTCCCAGCAGCCTGCCTCTGACAGCGCAGTCAGGGCAGGCACTGTCCAGCCGGGCTGGATGGGGCCAACATCAGCCTTGGAAGGTCCTCGTGTCTCGGCACAGGAATTATCTTTTGGAAGGAGTTTCGTTAGGCACTCCTAGCGTGTAAGCTTTGGGAAGTCAGTTTCCTCTTGATTTATCTGAAGTGTTCAGCTACTGAGGAAATAGATAGGGACCTTTCTTATGTGTTTTGGAGTTGTAATAAAATATACAAGTCGGTAAAAGTCCTTTGCTGCGCTATCAAATCAGCATTGCAAATCTATCTGAACACGGCACTCCAGCATCAGTTTCCAGATTACATGTAACATATTTGTGGTTCGATCGTCTTCACTCAAAATGTTGGCTAAAATATTTTTATCTTTAGATTTATTTTTAGAGTTTACTGTTGAAAGATTCCAGCTCTGGGCAGTCCTTCCCATGGCTTTTAGCAGCAACACTTGCAGTTGTGTTTCACATAATTAAACAGCCAACAATACTTAATGAAGAAATAAATAACATCAATAAAGTAGTAAATAATTATATGCAGGCAAACACCAAAGACATTATCCATCAGGCAACAGCTGTGAGCATTAGTTTTGATTAATCAATAGTGTTATACAATAGGAGAAGGAATGCTGGCCAGGCCTCTAGGGGAATCACCTACGCTTTTCTAAACAGCAAGCATTGTTATTTTAAGCAGAAGTTGCAGTAGAATCCTTAATTAAATGTAACAGCCAAGAGCTCCTCCATCAGCAATATGCCCCACTTTTCAAAGCACACGAAGCAGCAGGAGTTTAAGCAAGACCAAATTAAGGCCTAGTCCATAGTTTGAAAAGGTTCACTGATACGTCCGTGTCAGGGGAGACGCTCGTGGGGTACCACTTCTATCAGCCAAAGCGCTGTTTGGCTGAGGGCGCTTCGGGTAGGTGCTGGGTTCGAATTAACTGCCCACTGAAGTAGCTGTTTTGCCTTGCTTATGCTGTCCGCGGAAGACGAGGGAGCGCTTTAACAATTTTTGCCTCAGAAAGATGTTAGTAGAGCACTCCTGGGTAAGTGTATAAGTGATGGCTGCAGATCCTGTATCTCAGTCCAGGTAGCTGCTGGAGCAAGCAAGTGTGCAATATTTCGTTTTAAATGTAAACAGAGTTGTAATTTGCTCCCTTCTTGCACACATTCTGCTGCTCCTTTGGAAACAGGCGTGGGTGGATTCTCTCTGAAGTTGAAAAAGTCTGGTAGATCTTTAAACATACCTTCAGGATGGAGGAACCTTTAACGAAGCTTTCAGGAGTAATGGATCTCCTCGCCAGCACATTCCTCTTTCTGAGAACTTCTGACACAATCCCATTGATTTCTGCAGAGCTGCATACTCTTAATACAGCCATGCTGAATTTTGCTTAGAGGTTTCATCCGATCGGTCAGCATGATTGCTTACTTTTTCCTATTTTTTTTTTCCTTGAACAAATGAGTAGCTTAAAAGAATGCAAAGCTTTCAGAAAGACTGATCAAGGCACTAGATCACAGCATAGATAACAGATGCAAGATTTTACAGCCCTTAACCAATTAAAGCGAACAGGAACAGGAACAGGAACAGGAAGGATTTCTGGTGTGTTCAGGGAGACATTTCCAGAACCCGTGCTCCCATCTTGGTGGCTTTTTCCTTACGAAGCTGATCACCAGCTCCTTCTTGGCATCTGAATAAACAACAGAACCGTATTACTTCCGGTCTAAGTCAAACAACGGTAGTACCTTTCTACCACCAGAAAGAGAGCTCAGATAGAAAGAGGAGACTGAAGCAAAGGGCTGTTGCTTGGTTTGAAAGAAGTGAACAGAACAGACACGTAACCCTGCAGCTGAAGGATTATTTTAATTCTGTGCAATAGCAAATGCACCTACAAATTTCACAAGCGTAAGACACATGGAATAGTTGAAACGGCAATGCTACTAAGAAGTAAGGGCAGGGAAAGCCCTTACCTGTTGTTTGAGAAATGGAGGTAAGCAGAAGGCAATGGAGAAAACATATACCCTTCGCTTAAAACCAAAGCACTGCACACTGATCAATCTTGGAGCCTTTTTTCCAAACCCCTATCAGAGGGAGGAACAGGAAAAGAAACCTTTTTGCACGATAATTGCTGATAGCACAACAAAACCCAAAGGGCTTCCTTACCCATTTCTAGACACGCAGGCGCTAATAAACTTCTGTGATAACATTAATACTCTTGATAGTCTCCGTGGGCTCATTCTCCCAAACTAGAATCTCATTATATTCTGTGAACTTGAAGTAAATTTGTGGGCGTTTAAAGGTATAGCCTTTAAATTGTTGTGGGGCTGCCTGTTCACAGCACTTCTCTGCTACTGTTGCTCTTTCTGCTTTCTTAGGTGTCCCGGTGGCGGCGGCTCAGAAGCCCAGTCACAAATCAAGGCTTTGTTCTTCAGAGCAAAGTACTGCAAATCGCAAAGTAAGCAGCTCCCAACGTCTTTTAGGTTCCCATCGATTCTCGTGGTGCTGATCAGCCCCAGCTTCCCTAAGAGTGTGTTGGTGTTGCTGCGTGGGGAATTGATTAGTAAAGTTGATTGCTCTGGAAAAATTAGAAATGTTAGTGTAGAGAGCTCAGATGACACGTTTCCAAAGCACCTGTCATCTCGGTGTAGCAGTGCTGACTGCACTTCTGGAGTCTGTCATTTCAAATAAATAATCCCAAATCTAAGTGAATCCAATTCATTCCCAGATAAATGATACAAAGTGGAATCAAATGAAAAGTGCTTATGGTTCCTCTTAGAGATCAGAAAAGACATGATTGTGTCTCTCCTCCTTCACCTGTGAAATTTATTGGGCTTGCTTATCTCAGTGTTGTGCAAAGCCTGTGTTTGGTTAAATGTCCTCCCTGATATCTATGACATTGTAGATCCAGAAGGGCAGGTCACATGGATGCGTTTGTCTGTGTGGAAGCTAAGGATGTAACCCGTACTGGAGATGAATCTTAAACATTTTCTGCAAAACAAAATCTCCGTTCCATTTTTTAAAAGTAATTAATGCATGTAGGTAACCTACAAAATCCATGGAATTTCCTTTCCTCATAAGACAGGAAAACATATCAATATGCCAGAAATGAGGGAAGGGTTGGCTTTGTTTTGTTTTGTTTTTTTTTTCTTTTTGTTTTGAGATCTTGGTCAAATTCTTTCATAGATTATCTCCACTGTCTGCAGGGAGAGTATTTATGGCAGATGTTAGTTCTTCCCCTCATCCAATGAGATAAATTTAAAAAATAGAGAAAGTTCTGGGTAAGGTATAGACATCTCTCAGAAAAACAGCATGTTAATAACAGATAATGTATATTGATGTGATTTCAAAACAAATTCTTCTTTTTCTGTGCCCAACTATAAAGTACCTGAGATAATTTTTTTTTTTTATTGAATGGAGTAAAGTTTCCGCAGACTTTCTTTCTCACGCAGGCAATATTTGGCATCTTGTGAAGGGCATCTGATAGGAGGAGAAGCGGATGACATTCAGGTATTTCTCTGCAGTCCTGTTATTCCCGCTTTGTTTTATTGAGATGAAGTCCTGTGTTTCTAAATACAGTAAGGACAACTCTCAGCAGGCCTTCTCCTTTCTCACAGTCCTAAGCCTGCGTTTCTCATTGACTCTCTGCAAGTTCCCTTGCTTGGTTTTCTCTTCTAACCGGTCCCCACGCATGTGCACAGTGTCATGCAGCCAGCTCTCTCGCTTAGCCCTCAGCAGTTGGTCCTCGGGTGGTGGTTTTCGTTAAGTATTAAGCTGTCAGCTGATTTCACTAAATTTAGGTCTTGGACGTGAGATGTTTTTGAGGGGATGCAATTTTCAGAGCACTTTATTGAAAAGCTAGGTAAAGCACCTCTCAAAATCATTCGAATGTGGCATTCATTTTTTTCCTGTGAATTCTCAGTAGACGTCTTTGCAGTGGATTTCCAAACTAAATTAGGCTTTGCGTAGTGCTTTTTCTGTATTTAACATTGCCTTTTCAGTATTGCAGCCAAGGCTTCCTTTTAAAGGCATGTACATGAGATTATGCAACCATAGTATTCAGGATACCCAGAGTAATTAAAATAAATCAGGCTAGGTATAATGAAGATGAGCCAAAGCATCTGTTTCTCAAGAGGATTTAAAAAAGAAAAAAAAAAAAAAAAAGATCCATCATCCGCAGAGGCTTGGATCCATAGTGGTTAGACCTCAGAGATTCTTGTGCTTCAGAAACGTGTCAAGCTCAAGCTCACTTGGGTAAGAAGAGGTGGAGTTAAAAATGGGTAAAAACAAAGACCCTCTCTTTGGTATGGCCAATTTCTGTGTTCCCTGGAAACAACAGCTGGACAACCCATGGTGTGTTTAGCAGAGCTGGACTTACAGATCAATTCCTTTTTGCTGCTAGTACTTAAATGTGAAGTGCTTACATGAATCAGGAGAAGGGGAAGTGACTTCTGTGTGCTGTCCAGTATTTATCAGACAAGTCTGGTGTTTAAAAGTCAGTTCAAAATCTCTAGTTATTTCAGCCTGACTCTGGTGATGGTTCAGTGGGAGGGAGGTACAGAAACGTCATTCCACCCTCACAGCAGCACTGGGGATCACAGCGACCTGGGATAGGAAAGAGCTTGCTTATTAAGCCGATTGTCCCGCAAGGCAAGAAGCAGCCTTCAGACCATAGAGCTGAGGTACCAAGAGCTACTTGGTTTTATTTCTGCTCTGCTGTCACTCGGCACCAGATGCCAAAAGCCCTTTTCGGGCAAAATTCTCAAGATGATGACTGCGCGAGGAGGGCACCAGCAGCCACCACTTCCCTTCCGTGCCCTGCTGCAAACTTCCTACGTGAGCCAGCCCCGGTTCCTCGTCTGCAGGGTGGAAATAGCAGCGCTTCCGTATTGCTCCAAGCTGCTTTGAGGATAAACACGTGAAAGGCTACCAAGTGCGCAGGTCTAGAGCGGTGGGATCAACAGGTAGACAGAACTGGGACCTAGACATTGCCAGGGAATCAACAGTAAAACAGAGCCAGATGAACTGCAACCAGTCACCAGGAGCAGCATAGAACTATCTGGACTTTTATGTAAATCTCAGCCCTCTTTGATATAAGTTTGAATACTGAACCTAAAACAAGGACTCATCTGACTTCTGTTTCTTCTAGCAGGACTGACTCAATCCAAGGGGAAAGGGTGAGCAGGAGAACCAGGCGCTCCGTTTCGAGTTGAACTCATGTAATCCCTTGTGTAATATTTAAGTGGTATTTGGTTCCATTGAGTCTCTCTTAAGGAGAAGAGAAAAACATTTCCACTGCAGCAGCCCCAAGGCAAAAAAAACCTGTAAAAAACCTCAGCCGTTTTTTTGGCAAGCAGGTCTGTGTTGGGCGGTGGCTGTCAGCAAGGCTTTCTGGTCCCTCTCCTTGGCCACTGTTGAACCATGTTGGCCAGGTTCAACAAGGTCCGGTGTGCTAGGAGAGGAGCTGGGGGGAGTTTCAGCAGACCGAGCTCTCCATTTGGTGGGAAATCTGCTCTCCTGGGTTCAAGTGGACAGGAATGCTTTCAAAGCCTCCAGCCTAGCTTTAAGACATGACATAATCCATTAATGAGGGTCATTTTTTGTGACCAGGATGCACACTCAGGTAAGTAGGGCCAATGAGAAATATTACAAGCTATTTGTTAAGTTCATCCTCCGTAGATGCAGTAGGTGGATGTCTCCGGTGCCTTCATGAATCAAGAAGGGCCATTACAATGAGAAGCAATGCACCGACTAGCAAGCAAAATGTGGGCATTTGTGCCGTAAATCACAGCTGGTCAGGTGGATTATCTGCTTTGGGAACATCGTTTACAGAAGTACATCTCAGTCGACTAACCAGGGGAAGGTATAATTCTTTTCTTAGGTGGGAAAGGCGTATGTTATCTGAGCCTTGCCAAAAAGGACCTTTCTTGCCCCAGTGAGGAGCTCTGCCTGAGGCCTTAATGCTGCATCACGGTGCCTGAAACACTGGTCCCACCCAGCCCAGGAGGGTGTTAGCCCTTTTGCAGCCAGTGCTGTCGCAGGCTACGCCATGACTCCTTGCAGGATCTGAGTCTGTGACCAGTAGGCTTTCCTGCATGGTTTCCATTTGCGAATGATATCCTGAAATGATGCTGAGGACTGAACCTCTGTTCCAGCTTGCAGCATTTTTGTTTTCCTGTTCCCCGGTCGCGCAAGCAACCTTGGCGGCTGCTTGCAAGCTCACAGAAGCCTTTTGCCCGCACAGAAAGTGTTGGACAACGCTGGGCTGCTCAGCGCATTGCAAAGTAATGATTTCCTGGGAAGAAATTTCGCCACAGGTAACAAGTTCCACTGAAACATTCTGTACCAGAATCTGAAAACGGCTCCATCCTTTTACCCTGGCAGGTAATTTCTTTGCCAGACTAGTTTCAGGGAGACCTCTTGAGTCATGCTCAGCAGTTAGGCTTTGCACAGGCTGCTTAAGCAGAGTAGTCTTAGCATTAGGGGTTTCATGTGGGCAGCAAACTTGTTTGCTGAGCTGCCTTGAGTATGCACTTAGGTAGGTACAGCTCAAAGACAGCTTAGCCAAAGGTGAAAAGTTGCTAAACGGGCCTAGATGGTTGAATCGTAAGTTTTGCTGCATTTGTAACTTGGATAAAGGATGAAGGCACGGGAACAAACGTGTGGACGTGAGTGCTAAAACTTGCTGGAGGTAAATCTGCACCCAATGAAAGAGGCAGGTCGTGGCACGCGGGGCACCAACCCCGCTATCTCCAGCTGCAGGTGAAGGACTGGCCAGCAGACTTTTGGGGGACTAGAGGTAGTCAGAATACTGCAGGAGCTGTTTTCTGTGTCATTGGGTCTCATGGTAGTGCTATTAAAAAAGAACCCGGTAACTGTGAGGTCAAATGTCCTCACGTAAGCAAAACTGTGGCTTGCGTGGAAAAATCCAATTCCAAAACAAAAAAGCAAGAAGAAGTGCTGCCAAGAGCACTTAGAACTGTGGCAATGTATTCAAAGTTAATGAAGATGTGAAATCCCCCGCTTTCAAATGCGGGCCGGGCGAGAAAAAGGAAAATTTTGCGTTTGGTTGGTGCATTCCCTGCCTGGGAAACCCACCTTGTCCTCCCTGGCTTGCTCCCCTGCCAGCACTGTCTGCTTCCTCTGAGATAGCTGCCCACCCTCCTCCGTGGCCTGCTGAATTTATAAAAATCAGTTTTTGGATTTTTTTTTTTTTTTTTGCTTGGAAAAAAACATGATGGCTGAGACCTGTTAAGTGTTTCGAAAGAGGTCAGCTTGTTTACTTAAACCGATTTAAATCTGGCAAACTGAGAATAGCAACTTTCTTTGACCACTGACTTGAGTAAATTTGGCCTGGCATTCTTAAGATGATGTTTACAACTCCAACTGTCTCCGTTACACAGGGATATATATATATGCATATGTATATTTTCATTAAAAACAGTTGAGGTAAATTATCTGACAGGAGATGGATGTGAAATGGCCGACGTGCGCATTTCCTGTGCAGCACTTGGAAACTGAAGCGCACCGAAAGCCTTAGCAGATGATGTTCCTTCCTGAGCTTTATGATTTAAAAAAAACACAACAGTTTGGTTGCATTTAGGATCATTTCCACTGGAGAGATTTTATTCAGGATTTTGTGAAAAAGTAGCTATTTTTAGCAGGTAAATTAGCATGTTTTCTGAAGTAATGTAGGCAAGAAACGATAGCCTCGGATAGCTCGCTGGACAATGATGGTATTTTAGCTTTGAAATGACAATTCAGTTCTTCCAGCTCAAGATGAAATGATCTTTGTGGCCTCAGCTCTGTCTTTTTTTCACAGTCGTCCACACTAACGCTGCACATAACAAGGCATAATTTTACATAAGTAGGAGACTGTGCTCTGAGCCAATATACAAGTCATACCTGATTGAATATTGCCATTTCAGAGCCGCCATCTAATCATATTTTTCAGGCTGTGTGAACAAAATAATGTTGTTATAATTACACACAGCGTTTGTGTGTACGTGTGTGTGTGTGTGTGTGTGTAATATATATGTACAATGACATTGGGGTGGTGATAGAGCTCTTTCTATTAGCTCTGTGGTTTTAATAAGGTATGACAGAAAGTTATTTGATACCATTTGAAATCCCACTTGTATTTTCATATTGCTCTCAGATGTAATTCAGGGACTTGATTTTTATGAGTTATGGCTCTGATGTCACTTGTATTTTTGCCCGTAATAGGTCCCACGGGAGCAAAATTCATCAGACTCAATTAACAGCATCTGAAAAGTGTATCTTGGTTAGCAGCTAACTGATCAGGCAGCAACGGCGTGGACCTGTTTTAGCTGACCCGTCAGCCTGTGCCTGGAGAGGAAACGTGCTTTTCGTTGAGCAGGTAGCAGCTCGCCGGGGCTCGCGACGCCCCGCCACCATCCAGGTAGTCTCGCGGTTTCTACGGGTTCACGCGATTTGTCCTACCGCAGCCAGCTTGCCGCTGTCAAATCTCACGCTATTCAGTGGCTTTTCTCTGCCGGGGACCGAGCTCTCGGAGACCTCTGAATCGGGGGCGGTTTATTGTTTGTTCCAAGAGAGCTTCCAGCAGTCCTAGAGGGGAGCTTAAAAACACGATGCCGGGAGGATGAAAAAATACAAGGTAAATAAAAATAGCTCCAAACGCATATATTTATTAAAGGTTATGATTTTAAAGCTGATCTCATGTGGGGCTTTCTGTTTGCTTAGGTCGTTCATTGGGGCTCGCCGGTTTTTTGGAGGGAAGATAAAATGTTCCGACTCCGGCATTTTAACGCGCGGTGATTTGAACGCGCGATCTAAAGGGCTCCCTGAGCGAGAGGCTGAGCCCAAACGCTAGTGGAGTGAGCACGGGGCCTCTCATTAACTTCAAAGGGCTCCGCATCCAGCCCGACTCGCTGATTTGGAGCAGGGGCTGGGTGCACCCTCGCGGCTTCGCTGCGGCTCCATCTACCACCCAGAAAAGCTCCTCTCCAGAAACATCCTCCGAGACTGAAAAGCCTGCAAGAGAAGGGCTCTAAGCAGCAAATAAATAAATGAAATAAAGCAGA